GGTAACCTAACTTAATCCCATCATCACCACAGGTAACCTAACTAACCCCATCATCACATATGTAACCTAATCCTAACCCCATCATCACAGGCAACCTAACTTAACCACATCATCAATACAGTAAACTTAATACCATCATCACTACAGTAAACCTAACCTAACCACATCACCACAGGAACCTAACTTAACCACACATCACCACAGGTAACCTATCTTAACCCCATCATCACTACAGGTAACCTAACTTAACCCCATCATCACTACAGGTAACCTAACTTAACTCCCATCATCACTACAGGTAACCTAACTTAACCTCCATCATCACCACAGGTAACCTAACTTAACCACATCATCAATACAGGTAACCTAATCTAATCCCATCATCACTACAGGTAACCCAACTTAACCCCATCATCACTAAGGTGTAACCCAACTTAACCACATCATCAATACAGTAACCCAACTTAACCACACATCATCAACAGGTAACCTAATCTAACCCCATCATCACTACAGGTAACCTAACTTAACCACATCATCACTACAGGCAACCTAACTTAACCACATCATCACCACAGTAAACTTAACTTAACCACATCATCACTAAGGCAACCCAATCTTAACCTAGTTCTCAACATATAAATTTAACTTAACCCCATCATCACCACAGGTAACCACTAACTTACATCATCACTACAGGTAACCTAACTTAACCCCATCATCACTACAGGCAACCTAACTTAACCACATCATCACTACAGGTAACCTAACTTAACCCCATCATCACTACAGGTAACCTAACTTAACCATATCATCACCACAGGTAACCCTTAACCAAATCATCACTACAGGTAACTTAACCTTAACCACATCATCACTACAGGTAACCCAACTTAACCACATCATCACTACAGGTAAACCTAACTTAACCCCATCATCACCACAGGTAACCTAACTTAACCACATCATCACTACAGGTAACCCAACTTCAACCCCATCATCACTAAGGTAACCCAACTTAACCCCATCATCACTACAGGTAACCTAACTTAACCCCATCATCACTACAGGTAACTTAACACCATCATCACTACAGGTAACCTAACTTAACCCCATCATTACTACAGGCAACCCAACTTAACCCATCATCACCACAGGCAACCTAACTTAACCCCATCATCACTACAGGTAACTTAACACCATCATCACCACAGGTAACCTAAATTAACCCCATCATCACTGAAGGTAACCCAACTTAACCCCATCATCACTACAGGTAACCTAACTTAACCACATCATCACTACATATATAACCTAACCTAACCACATCTTCACCACAGGTAACCTATTAACCCATCATCATCACAGGTAACCTAACTAACCCCATCACCACAGGCAACTTAACACCATCATCACCACAGGTAACCTAACTTAACCCCATTCATTGGTGCAACCTAACTAACCACATCATCACCACAGGTAACCTAACTTAACCGCATCTCTACCTTCAGGTAACCTAACTTAACCACATCTTCACTACAGGTAACCTAACTTAACCCCATCATCACTACAGGTAACCTAACTTAACCCTCACTGATACCAGGTAACCCAACTTCTAACCACATCATCACTACAGGTAACCTAACTTAACCCCATCATCATCATATAAGGTAACTTCAATCTCAACCCCATCATCACTACAGGTAACTTAACTTAACCCATCATCAACACAGGTAACCCAATCTAATCCTTCATCATCACTACAGGCAACCCAACACATCATCATCACAGGTAACCAACCTAACCCCATCATCACCAGGTAACTTAACCCCATCATCACCACAGGTAACCTAATCCTATCATCACTCTACAGGTAACCCAACTTAATCCCATCATCACCACAGGTAAACCTAACCAACCACATCATCACTACAGGTAACCTAACTTAACCCCATCATCACTACAGGTAATCAACTTAACCCCATCATCATCAATAAGGTAACCTAACTCTAACCCCATCATCATCACCACAGGTAACCCAACTTAACCCCATCATCACCACAGGCAACCTAACTTAACCACATCATCACTACAGGCAACCCAACTTAACCCCATCATCAACACAGGTAACCTAACTTAACCCCATCATCACCACAGGTAACCCAACTTAACCACATCTTCACCACAGGCAACCTAACTTAACCCCATCATCACCACAGTAACCCAACTTAACCCCATCATCACTACAGGTAACCTAACTAAACCACATCTCACCACAGTAACCCAACTTAACCCCATCATCACCACAGGTAACCCAACTTAACCACATCATCACTACAGGCAACCTAACTTAAACCCCATCATCACTACAGGTAACCTAACTTAACCCCATCATCACTACAGGTAACCTAACTTAACCCCATCATCACTACAGGCAACCTAACTAACCCCATCATACAGGTAACCTAATCAACCTCATCATCACCACAGGTAACCCAAACTAACCCCATCATCACCACAGGTAACCCATCAACCCCATCATCACCACAGGCAACTCCAACTAACCACATCATCACTAAGTAAACCTAACTTAACCCCATCATCACCACAGGTAACCTAACTTAACCACATCATCACTACAGGCAACCTAATCCTAACCACATCATCACTATGCAACTTAACTTAACCCCATCATCACCACAGGTAACCTAACCTAACCACATCATCACCACAGGTAACCTAACTTAACCCCATCATCACTACAGGCAACCCAACTTAACCACATCATCACTACAGGTAACCTAACTTAACCCCATCATCACCACAGGTAAATCTAACTTAACCCCATCATCACCACAGGTAACTTAACACCATCATCACCAGGTAACCTAACTTAACCCCATCATCACTACAGGTAACCTAACTTAACCACCATCATCAATATCAACTTAACTTAACACCATCATCACTAAGGGTCAACCTAACTTAACCCCATCATTACTAGCAACTCAACTTAACCACATCACTACCACAGGAAACCTAACTTAACGCCATCATCACTACAGGCAACCTAACTTAACCCCATCATCACCACAGGTAACTTAACCATTCACCACAGGTAACCTAACTTAACCTCATCATCACTACAGGTAACCTAACTTAACCACATCATCACCACAGTAACCCAACTTAACCCCATCATTATAGTAACCTAACTTAACCACATCATCACTACAGGAAACCCAACTTAACCCCATCATCACTACAGGTAACTTAACCACATCATCACCACAGGTAACCTAACTTAACCCATCTTCACACAGGTAACTACCTAACCCATCATCACTACAGGTAACCCAACCTAACCTGTCCATCACTCAGGTAACCTAACTTAACCACTTTCACCACAGGCACTAACTTCAATCCCATCATCACTACAGGTAACTCAACTTAATCCATCATCACAGTAACCTAACTCTAACCACATCATCATCATAGTAACCCAATCTTAACCTCATCATCAATACAGGCAACTTTAACTTAACCCATCATCACTACAGGTAACCTAACTCAACCCATCATCACTACAGGTAACCTAATCCTAACCCCACATCATCACAGGCAACCTAACTAACCCTACATCATCAACAGGTAAAACCTAACCTCAACATCATCACCAGGTAACCCAACTCAATCATCATCAACACAGGTAACCTAACTTAACCACATCATCACCACAGGCAACCCAACTTAACCCCATCATCACCACAGGTAACCCAACTTAACCACATCATCACCACAGGCAACCCTAACTTAACCAACATCACTACAGGTTAACTAACCCCATCATCACTACAGGTAACCTCAATCTGTCACATCATCACCACAGGTAACCTAACTTAACCCCATCATCACTACAGGTAACCTAATCCTAACCACATCATCACCAAGGGTAACCTAACCTAACCTCATCATCACTACAGGTAACCTAACTTAACCCATCATCACTACAGGTAACCTAACTTAACCACATCATCACTACAGGTAACCTAACTTAACCCCATCATCACTACAGGTAACCTAACTTAACCACATCATCACAGAGTAACCTAACTTAACCACATCATCACTACAGGTAACCTAACTTAACCACATCATCACTACAGGTAACCTAACTTAACCCCATCATCACTACAGGTAACCTAACTAACCACATCATCTACAGGTAACCTAACTTAACCCCATCATCACTACAGGTAACCTAACTTAACCCCATCATCACTACAGGTAACCCAACTAACCACATCACTACAGGTAACCCAACTTAACCCCATCATCACTAAGGTAACCTAATTAACCACATCATCACTACAGGTAACCTAACTTAACCCCATCATCACTCGACTAACTCCACCTAAGGTAACCCAACTTAACCACATCATCACTACAGGTAACCTCAACTTAACCCCATCATCACTACAGGTAACCTAACTTAACCCCATCATCTCTACGCAACTAACCCATCATCACTACAGGTAACCTAACTTAACCCCATCATCACTACATAACCTAACTTAACCACATCATCACCACAGGTAACCTAACCAACCCCATCATCACTACAGGTAACCTAACTTAACCACATCATCACTCACAGTAAACCTAACCTAACCCCATCATCACTACAGGTAACCAACCTAACCATCATCACAATAACCTAACTTAACCACATCATCACTACAGGTAACCTAACTTAACCCCATCATCACTACAGGTAACCTAACTTAACCACATCATCACTACAGGTAACCTAACTTAACCCCATCATCACTACAGGTAACCTAACTTAACCCCATCATCACTACAGGTAACCTAACTTAACCCCATCATCACTACAGGTAACCTAACTTAACCCCATCATCACTACAGGTAACCTAACTTAACCACATCACTACAGGTAACCTAACTTAACCACATCATCACTACAGGTAACCTAACTTAACCCCATCATCACTACAGGTAACCTAACTTAACCACATCATCACTACATTTTCAGGTATGAGAACTACATAACAGCTCAAGGACTGACGGCAGGCATGAGTTATTGAAGAACAACAATGAACTGTTCTACAATGGGGAACATACTTGGCCTTACACATGATCTGGAGGAGGAGGAGGAGGAGAGTTGTGTAGTCCTTGTGTCTTCACTTAGGACTACAGAGGCTACAGGGAGGGGTACTACAGAGTCATCAGCTACCATACTACAGGAAGAATCTACAGAAACAAGTACCACAGAATCTTCAGCTACAGTGCTACAGGAAGATTCTACAGAAACAAGTGCTACAGAATCTTCAGCTACAGTACTACAGGAAGAATCTACAGAAACAAGTACTACAGAATCTTCAGCTACAGTACTACAGGAAGAATCTACAGAAACAAGCACTACAGAATCTTCAGCTACAGTACTACAGGAAGAATCTACAGAAACAAGCACTACAGAATCTTCAGCTACAGTACTACAGGAAGAGTCTACAGAAACAAGTACTACAGAATCTTCAGCTACAGTACTACAGGAAGAATCTACAGAAACAAGTACCACAGAATCTTCAGCTACAGTGCTACAGGAAGAGTCTACAGAAACAAGTGCTACAGAATCTTCAGCTACAGTACTACACGAAGAGTCTACAGATACAAGTACTACAGAATCTTCAGCTACAGTACTACAGGAAGATTCTACAGAAACAAGTATTACAGAATCTTCAGCTACAGTACTACAGGATGAGTGTACAGAAACAAGTACCACAGAATATTTAGCTACAGTACTACAGGAAGAGTCTACAGAAATAAATACTACAGAATCTTCAGCTACAGTACTACAGGAAGATTCTACAAAAACAAGTACTGCAGAATCTTCAGCTACAGTACTACAGGATGAGTGTACAGAAACAAGTACCACAGAATCTTTAGCTACAGTACTACAGGAAGAGTCTACAGAAATAAATACAGAATCTTCAGCTACAGTACTACAGGAAGATTCTACAGAAACAAGTATTACAGAATCTTCAGCTACAGTACTACAGGATGAGTGTACAGAAACAAGTACCACAGAATCTTTAGCTACAGTACTACAGGAAGAGTCTACAGAAATAAATACTACAGAATTTCCAGCTACAGTACTGCAAGAAGATTCTACAGAAGCAAGTACTACAGAATCTTCAATTACAGTACTACAGGAGGATTCTACAGAAACAAGTACTACAGAATCTTCAGCTACAGTACTACAGGAAGTGTCTACAGAAACAAGTCCTACAGAATCTTCAGCTACAGTACTACAGGAAGATTCTACAAAAACAAGTACTGCAGAATCTTCAGCTACAGTACTACAGGAAGAATCTACAGAAGCAAATACTACAGAATCTTCAATTACAGTACTACAGGAGGATTCTACAGAAACAAGTACTACAGAATCTTCAGCTACAGTACTACAGGAAGATTCTACAGAAACAAATACTACAGAGGAACAGCAAGAATCTACAGAAACAAGTACTACAGAATCTTCAGCTACAGTACAACAGGAAGAATCTACAGAAACAAATACTACAGAATCTTCAGCTACAGTACTACAGGAAGATTCTACAGAAACAAGTACTACAGAACCTTCAGCTACAGTACTACAGGAGAATTCTACAGAAACAAGTACTACAGAGGAACAGGAAGAACCTACAGAATCTTCAGCTACAGAAGAACAGGAAGAATCTACAGAAATAAGCACTACAGAACCTTTAGCTGCAGTACTACAGGAAGAATCTACAGAAACGAATACTACAGAATCTTCAGCTACAGTACTACAGGAAGAATCTATAGAAACAAATACTACAGAATCTTCAGCTACAGTACTACAGGAAGATTCTACAGAAACAAATACTACAGAGGAACAGCAAGAATTTACAGAAACATGTACTACAGAATCTTCAGCTACAGTACTACAGGAAGAATCTATAGAAACAAATACTACAGAATCTTCAGCTACAGTACTACAGGAAGATTCTACAGAAACAAATACTACAGAGGAACAGCAAGAATCTACAGAAACAAGTACTACAGAATCTTCAGCTACAGTACTACAGGAAGAATCTACAGTATCTTCAGCTACAGTACTACAGGAAGATTCTACAGAAAGAACTACTACAGAATCTTCAGTTGCAGTACTACAGGAAGAGTCTACAGAAACAAGTACTACAGAGGAACAGGAAGAATCTACAGAAACAAGTACTACAGAATCTTCAGCTACAGTACTACAGGAAGAGTCTACAGAAACAAGTACTACAGAGGAACAGGAAGAATCTACAGAAACAAGTACTACAGAGGAACAGGAAGAATCTACAGAAACAAGTACTACAGAGGAACAAGAAGAATCTACAGAATCTTCAGCTGCAAAGGAACAGGAAGAATCTACAGAAACAAGTACTACAGAATCTTTAGCTGCAGTACTACAGGAAGATTCTACAGAAACAAGTACTACAGAGGAACAGGAAGAATCTACAGAATCTTCAGCTGCAAAGGAACAGGAAGAATCTACAGAAACAAGTACTACAGAATCTTTAGCTGCAGTACTACAGGAAGATTCTACAGAAACAAGTACTACAGAGGAACAGGAAGAATCTACAGAATCTTCAGCTACAGAGGAACAGGAAGAATCTACAGAAACAAGTACTATAGAAGATCAGGAAGAATCTACAGAAACAAGTACTACAGAATCTTCAGCTACAGTACTACAGGAAGAATCTACAGGGTCAATTACTGTAGGTGAAAGTGGGTGTTTGACAGGTGATGACTCGAAGGGTAAAGGAAACAAAAGGAAGTTTCGGACCAAAGCTTTAGCTGAGGACAAACGTTTGGAAATTGAAAGCTTTAAGACTTCTCCAGCTTGTTGGAATGAACGTAAACCATTAAAGAAAAACTCAATGGAAACTCAAACAGATATTTTGCTTGAGGTGAAAAACACATGTCAAAGTAACATGGAAAATAAAACAACTCAGATTAATACTTATAAGACTGAGACTCCTTGTAAGTGTCCGTACTTTTGTTGTAATCATGAAGACTCAATGTACGAACACAAGGGGGTGTTATGTACGGCAAACAAGACACGTTACATATGTGCATCTCTCCTGAATGTCACCATGTTGGTCACGGTCGAGGGAATGGTTATAGGGGATATTTACTTGTCCTGTAATGTTGTGTGGATAGAGGGTAGACCGGTGCCTCTTCAGTATGTAGCCGATGGGACGACAGTGAGTTTCGACGCCGTGAATCACCGCGGACAGTACGAGGCGTTGATCATATGGGTAGACTGTAAGCCTGGAAAAATGATCCCCATTGGTAAAGACGATGTTATCTGCACCGGCTCGGACGACTATCGCCTCACCAATTTAAGACTTAATAGCAGTTTAGGCGTCGCCAATGTTGAAATCCAGGGAAGGCAGGTTACTTCAGTCATGCAGTTAAGCAATTTCTTCATCGACGGGAGGCGGGCCAGCAAAGACGAACTTGCGGAATTGCCTCTCAAGGATCCATCATTTGAAGTGCATGGGAGGGTGTGTACCGTAGTGCCAGGAACTTCAGAGGGAAAACCTCGGTACATAGCCTTGTGTGTGTGGACGGGAGTTAAACCCTCGCCTTCAATCATGCCGCACACGTTGCAGGTATCTGAAGTTTATGAAAACAGGAAAAAATTCTCTTTCAGCCCCAAAATGAGCGAGACTTGTATATACCTGGGTGTTGACTCCTGTTTCGAATGTACAGACGAGTATTCTGTCATGATGATTGTCGTGGAAGATGAGGTTCATTTACTGAGTCTTACACCAGGTGAAGTAGATTGCCTGAAGAACTTAAGGGGAGATCAACCTATGGCTCAAGCAGTGGGGTTTTCTGACGTAATGAAGAGTCCTGACTGTGAGCCCAGTAAGTGGAGTGTTATAGTTAAGGATTTGATCCCAGTGATTGAACGCCGGGTAAGGCCGGACAATTCCCTCGACTCGTTCATTTCGTATGTGGTATCTTCGCTCAAGAACAACGAGCTGACACCCATTAAACAGGAAAAGAAATCGACCACAGCCGATGACCTACTCAAAACTATACTGTACGGTAAACACCATGAATCTAAAACCAAGGCCATTGTGGATGATAACTACGCCTTGGTACACGACATCTCAAACAACAACTTGACTCCTGATTCGATACCAAACGCGAACGAGACGATTACCCGAACGCTAAAGACTTCCTCTCCTTTTAAATACTCGGTAGTTGGAGGCAAGATATCCCCTAAAGACAACGACACGCTATCGTTTGTCTACGGGCACGACAAACAGATCAAGCTCGCAGCCATAGCCAAGGGCAGACTGCTGGACCACTCACGACCTCTCTCGGGGAACTGTTTCTTCGTCGTCAACTCCCTAAACCAGACCCCAAGAAAAGACGCACAACCCAATTTCCTGTATGGTTGGGTACAAGGCAGGTACCCCAATAACCACATACTACTCAATCAGAAAATCATGTTACTCGACCCCAAACAAAAGATTATACGACTGAACGGTAAAGACGGTGGCGCTTCGAACGTTTTTCTCTACGATAATGATTTTGTTTACATGAAGGACAGAGAGGTAAACATCGTAATCTACCATAAAGAAAACAATCATTCGTGTCTACATGTCTTGGTCACTCATATACCCAGTGTAAGGAGAGGCGGATACACCATCGATAGGAAAATTCGCATCATGAGTCGAAATAAATTGATTCTCCTCGTGACCATGAAAGCCTTCGCCCTGACTGAAGGTGAGGATAGTGACTACAGCGATGATGAAGAACTCTCTGATGATGGTGGTGAAGCAGATGTGAAGAATCTTGATGAAATAGAAGAGGAAAATGAAATATCACATACTAAATATGTAAACCAAAGGAAGACAGATGAAGTTATAAATGATATAACTGCAGTAGAGGATTTAACCCCATTTAAAAGGATTGTATACCAGTATGCCAACCAGAAGAAGGAATCCGCCAAGTGCACAAAGGGTTTAAACATCCATATATTCCCCAACAAGTTCAAATTTGACAAGAGATTGAACTTAAAACGAGCGCACTTGATTCACTTCACCGAGACCTACGCAGTGCTTCAGTGTCACGGCGAAAAACTGAAGATCGCTTGTCATATCTCCAACATCCTCTACCAGGGAAAGAGAATGAGATCTATCAAGGAGATTGACGAGAAGAATCGATTGAATTTCTTTTGCGTCCAGACTGCCATTGGGATGTTGGATCTAGAGGGATATTCTGTCCAAGGCTTTGCTCTCTTAGCTTGGGTGTCTGGAGGACCATCGCTTCTCACGGTTCACAAGTGCGACGTACACAGACCGTCGTTGCTTCTTTGTGAGGACGACCCGGGTATCGTTGACCCCCACGGCGACTCGTTACAGCTGGTGGATCGAGGTAAAACGAAGGACACTCGAGCCACATACTCCAGTGATGAGGGAATGTGGAAGACAACCCCAGACTCCAACGATCCTTGTTTCCACACCACTGGCCGGGTCCCTCGTCGCCAGGACTACAACAGAGCGGGGATAGAAGCAGTAGACTGTAAAGCTGGAAGGAAAATCACATCGTACGACAGCCATACTCTTCAACAATCTGGTCTTGAGGTAACAGATGCCAAGATTGAGTTCCTGTGTGGCGATGTTGCTGTTCTGTGTGATCATAAGGCCGGTAAGAAGTTGTGGTGTTATCTAGATAATATATTCATCTCTGGGTTGAAACTGAAGTATATATCTGACGTCATACAGTTCATGAAGGCTAAGAAGGGTCTGACAGTAGTGTTTTCCTCTTTGGCTTCACCTTCGGTCTTCCTGGATGAGACCATACGCCTTAAAGCTGTATTTGCTTACGATTCATTATCAACCGGGTCTCTGCCGGGGATTCATGTCTGCCGCATGCACGACGCTACGCCAATCTCTGACCTACAGAAGCACGAGATAGCCGTAGCAAAGGAGATATTTTCTGATATTGACAAAGTACTTCAGTGTGAGAAGACTCGCCTTACCTACTACAAGAAGGTGATCAAATTATCTAAAAAAAATACACCTCCACCGGCTCCTGACGTCCAGCCCCCGAAGAGCAAAGGCGACAACGACAGTGATGATGACAATGAGACATACAAGTACGTCTCTCACAAACTCAAAGATGGTTTAAACGTTGATCCGGCTAAGGTGACCTTCGACGACGTGGAACCAAGCAATGAGTTGGAGCTGTTATATGCGTCCAAGACTAAAGAAAAGACCGTTTGTCTCATGCAAAAAAGAGTCCAATTAAACCTGAAGGACCTGATAGATGAGGCCCAGTCTGTGAGCATACTGGTACCGAAGCCCGTCTTGGCCGATATTGAACTCACAAGACTTCTCCAGAAATATCAAGGGTGTCGTATGGTTGATGACGACAACAGAGCATCCATACAAGAGGTGGATGAAGAGGAATCCGAGGTGGAGTCTATGGAGCTCTACCCTGAAGGCTCAACTAAAGTGACTCAGGAGACTTGTGTATTCGAGAAAGCAGACAACTGTGTGGGCCTCGTGAGGGTGAACGACCAGCTCATCATCGTTCAGAAGGAGGACATGTACAACCAAGGAGAGAAGTTACCCCCATCTGCCTCCATTCGTAAGTACCTGTCCACAAAAAAAAACATCTGGGTGGTCTATTTCCTGATAAAACCTCTGGTCATCTGGAACTTAGATGTCTTCCATGCTGCGCTTGTGGTGTTTATTGGAAAGAAACCCGCCGCCGTCGACCACATCATGACCTCATGGAAGAAAAACCCCGTCAAGATTTTAAAATACAACTCGGGAGTCGTTTCGGCGTCAAAAAGAAGCATTCCTTTTAATTTAAGAGTTTTTGGTGATCGCTTCGAATATTTAGAAAGACCATGTACTATTCTTAAACTGGTAAAGAACAGCGCCGTAGTGGAGTTCAGCATTAACATTGAAGAGAATAAGTACCACGGTTTGTTTTATCAGGCAACTACATATATAAATGGCGTGCGTGTACCTCAGGTCGGTAACTTGGCCGATCATCTACAAGCATACAGGTCAGATGTCTGGTACTGTGTGTTGGAGCGATACGTGAACCAGAAGATCGCCGGCGTGGAGATTACTCACAGGGCATCGCTAGCGTGGTGCGGCGACAAACCAGATCCCAAAACTGTCGCAGATGATGAAAGTGGTGAGAAGGAGGGTACGAGCCCAACTGATCAATCTGATAGAACAGCTTCCACATCATCTGCAAGTGTGAACATCCCTGTACTTGAATCAGATGAGACATTTACTGATGAAACACTCACGGTTTCGTCTCAACTCAAGTCAAAATCCACAGGGGGATCACATACAGCCTCTTCACCCCCGAGTAGTGAAGTTGGCGATGCTGAATCCGTTCCTGCTTCATGTTCCAGTAGTACTTCAGCTAAATCCCTTCCTGCGCCATGTTCCGGTAGTACTTCAGCTGAATCCGTTCCTGCTTCATGTTCCAGTAGTACTTCAGCTGAATCCGTTCCTGCGCCATGTTCAGGTAGTACTTCAGCTGAATCCGTTCCTGCGCCATGTTCAGGTAGGACTTCAGCTGAATCCGTTCCTGCGCCATGTTCCGGTAGGACTTCAGCTGAATCCGTTCCTGCGCCATCTACCAACAGGACTTCAGCTGAATCCGTTCCTGCACCATCTACCAACAGGACTTCAGCTGAATCCGTTCCTGCGCCATCTACCAACAGGACTTCAGCTGAATCCGTTCCTGCGCCATCTACCAACAGGACTTCAGCTGAATCCGTTCCTGCGCCATCTACCAACAGGACTTCAGTGCCTAAGTCAAAGAAAACAAGTGTCTCCAGTGCCAAGAATCGTGACAACTCTGCCTCGCCTTCACTGCCAGAGAAGACACCAAGGAGAGGAAAAGGCAAGACAAATTCAAAGGATTACAGCAGTTGTGATGGACTTCGTGGTTCTTCCTCCTCTTCCTCCTCGTCATTATCATCATCATCATCATCATCATCATCATCATCATCATCATCTGCTAAAGTAATCCCCCAGGAAGGTAAAATCCAGTCATCATTATCATCATCGTCATCAAGGCACAAGACAACACCCGCCCAGAACGTTGCTTCCTACCCAGTAGACTCAACCCACAGACCAAGAACGTCTCCCCCAGAACCAAAACGAAGCTCGAGTTCATTCATGGATAAAAACGACGGGGCTCACAATCTTTCAACATCCGTCCCAGCCAGTGTATGGAGCAAGACCTCGAAACCAAAACAGAGATCAAAGGGATTCCCTTCGAGCTACTACGACTACTACCACAGGCCGTCCCGAAAATCCTAGACTAGTAACAAGTACAGCCACACAATCAATGAGTAATCAAACGAGTGAATGTAGCAATGGGAAAGAGATATTACCAGATGTATCCCATTTCTCTTCTCTAGAATCTCTCCCACAAATCCCAACGATGGTGTTTGAGGGGAGGGCGTCGCTGTCCCCTTCCCCTGGTGGTAGTAGTCCGACCGAGAACTAAGAGGAAGGAACTGCTCCCTGTAACTAAACTGTAAGCGCCGAGAATGAGAGGAAGGAACTGCCCCCACTAGCTGTAAGCGCCCAGAATGAGAGGAAGGAACTGTTCCAACTAGCTGTAAGTGCCGAGAATGAGAGGAAGGGACTGCCCCAACTAGCTGTAAGCGCCCAGAATGAGAGGAAGGAACTGCCCCAACTAGCTGTAAGCGCCCAGAATGAGAGGAAGGGACTGCCCCAACTAGCTGTAAGCGCCCAGAATGAGAGGAAGGGACTGCCCCAACTAGCTGTAAGCGCCCAGAATGAGAGGAAGGAACTGCCCCAACTACTGTAAGCTGTAAGCGCCCAGAATGAAGGAAGGAACTGTCTGCAACCAGCTGTAAGCGAGAATGAGAGGAAGGGACTGCCCAACTAGCTGTGGGCGCCTAATGAGAGTGAAGGAATCTGCCCCAACTAGCTAAAGCCCAGAATGGAGGAAGGGACGCTGTAAGTGCCGAGAATGAGAGGAAGGACTGCCCCAACTAGCTGTAAGCGCCCAGAATGAGAGGAAGGAACTGCCCCCACTAGCTGTAAGCGCCCAGAATGAGAGGAAGGAACTGAACCCCGACTGCCCCAACTAGCTGTAAGCGCCCAGAATGAGAGGAAGGAACTGCCCCAACTAGCTGTAAGCGCCCAGAATGAGAGGAAGGGACTGCCCCCTAGCTGTAAGCGCCCAGAATGAGAGGAAGGGACTAACTAGCTGTAAGCGCCTAGAATGAGAGGAAGGAACTGCCCCACTAGCTGTAAGCACCCAGAATGAAAGGAAGGAACTGCCCCAACTAGCTGGCTGTAAGCGCCCAGAATGAGAGGAAGGAACTGCCCCCACTAGCTGTAAGCGCCCATAATGAAAGGAAGGAACTGCCCCAACTAGCTGTAAGCGCCCAGAATGAGAGATCCACAGAGACAGAAGGAAAGAAATTAAAAGAAGAAGAGAAAGAAGATGTGATAGAGACGGTAAGATTGATTAATGTCTCTGTTAATATTTTGACAAAGATAAAAAAAAATACAAAAAACAAACAAACAAAGCAACAAAAACAACAAAAATAAATAAACAAAGCAAAAAAAAATCTAACAGACCCTCGATATAATGGACTTTCCTCTCCATAGTTCATTATATAGAGGTTTTACTATAGTTAAGGTAAATATATACATTAAAGTTTATATATAAATTATTTTTGATGTTTTTATATTAATTATAATTGAAGAATAATAATTAATGTATAGAGTTGTGAGTTAATGAAGTTACCATTGACTTACCATTGACTTACCATTGACTTAACCATTGACTTAGATCATTGACTTACCATTGACTTACCATTGACTTAGATTATTGACTTACCATTGACTTAACCATTGACTGAGATCATTGACTTAACCATTGACTTAAATCATTGACTTAGCATTGACTTAGCATTGACTTAGATCATTGACTTACCATTGACTTAACCATTGACTCAGATCATTGACTTAACCATTGACTTAACCATTGACTGAGATCATTGACTTAACCATTGACTTAAATCATTGACTTACCATTGACTTAGCATTGACTTAGATCATTGACTTACCATTGACTTAACCATTGACTTATATTATTGACTTACCATTGACTTAACCATTGACTGAGATCATTGACTTAACCATTGACTTAAATCATTGACTTACCATTGACTTAGCTTACCATTGACTTACCATTGACTCATTGACTTAAATCATTGACTTACCATTGACTTACCATTGACTCATTGACTTACATTGACTTACCATTGATCTTACCATTGACTTACCATTGACTTACCATTGACTTAACCATTGACTTAAATCATTGACTTACCATTGACTTAGCAATGACTTAGATCATTGACTTACCATTGACTTACCATTGATCTTACCATTGACTTACCATTGACTTACCATTGACTTACCATTGACTTAACCATTGACTTAGATCATTGACTTACCATTGACTTAGATCATTGACTTACCATTGACTTAGATTATTGACTTACCATTGACTTAACCATTGACTGAGATCATTGACTTAACCATTGACTGAGATCATTGACTTACCATTGACTTAGATCATTGACTTACCATTGACTTACCATTGACTTACCATTGACTTACCATTGACTTACCATTGACTTAACCATTGACTTAGATCATTGACTTACCATTGACTTAGATCATTGACTTACCATTGACTTAGATTATTGACTTACCATTGACTTAACCATTGACTGAGATCATTGACTTAACCATTGACTTAGATCATTGACTTAGATCATTGACTTAGATCATTGACTTAGATCATTGACTTAACCATTGACTTAGATCATTGACTTAACCATTGACTTAGATCATTGACTGAGATCATTGACTTAACCATTGACTTAACCATTGACTTAGATCATTGACTTAACCATTGACTTAGATCATTGACTTAACCATTGACTTAACCATTGACTTAGATCATTGACTTAGATCATTGACTTACCATTGACTTAACCATTGACTTAGATCATTGACTTAACCATTGACTTAGATCATTGACTTACCATAGTATCATTTAGAAATCCATATATATATACACTTAAGTTAATACAAGACACTTACCACAGCCTTATACTTACAGGTCAAAGGTCAGAGAACAGGCATGATCATTGACCTACACCGCACAGTAGGTCAATTAGAAACGGAGGATGGTAGAAGGTTATTCTTCAACAGTAAACAATGTTACCTTTATGGGATCTGTTTGAAGGATGTGGAACTCTGGCATATATTATCTATTGGTAAGTGTAGGGATGTGTTGGAGGGTGTAGGGATGTGTTGGGGGGTGTAGGGATGTGTTGGGGGATGTGGAGTTGGGGTGTAGGGATGGGGGGTGGGGATGTGTTGGGGAGTGTGTGGGAGGTGTAGGGAGGTGTGTGTTGGGGGTGTAGGGGGTGTGTTGGGTGTGGGGGTGTGTATGTGTTGGAGGGTGTAGGGTGTGTGGGAGGGTGTAGGAGTGTGTGGGAGGGTGTAGGGATGTGTTGGGGGTGTAGGGGTGTGTTGGGGGAGTTGGGGGAGTGTGTGGGGGTGTCAGGATGTGTTAGGGGTGTGTGGGAGGTGTAGGGATGTGTTGGAGGTGTTGGGGTGTGTTGGAGGTGTAGGGATGTGTTAGAGGGTGTGGGGGTGTGTTGGGGGTGTAGGGATGTGTTGTGGGTGTGGGGTGTGTTGGAGGGTGTGGGGTGTGTTGGGGGTGTAGGGATGTGTTGGAGGGTGTAGGGATGTGTTGGAGGGTGTGGGGTGTGTTGGGGGTGTAGGGATGTGTTGTGTGGGATGTGTTGGGGAGGTGTGTTGGGGGGTGTGTGGGTGTGGGGTGTGTTGGGGGTGTAGGATGTGTTGGAGGGTGTAGGGGTGTGTTGTGTGGGATTGGAGGGTGCAGGGATGTGTTGGAGGGTGTAGGGTGTGTTGGAGGTGTAGGGTGTTGGAGGGTGTAGGGTGTGTTGGAGGGTGTAGAGGTGTGTGGAGGGTGTGTGTGGAGGTGTGGGGTGTGTGGAGGGTGGGGGGTGTGGGGTGTGGGGTGTGGGGATGGTGGGGGTGTGTTGGAGTGTGAGGGGGGGGTGGTTGGAGGGTGGGGATGTGTTGGAGGGGTGAGGGGTGTGTGGGAGGGTGTGTGTGTGGGAGGGTGTAGGGATGTGTTGGGGTGTAGGGGTGTGATGGAGGTGGAGGGATGTGTTGGGGGTGTAGAGGATGTGTTGGGGGGTGTGGGCATGTGCTGGAGGTGTTGGGGATGTGTTGGGTGTAGGGATGTGTTGGGGGTGTAGGTGTGTGTTGGAGGGTGTAGGGGGGTGTTGGGGTGATGGAGGTGTTGTGCTGGTGTAGGGAATGTGTTGGGGGTGTGGGGATGTGCTAGGGTGTGTGGGGGGTAGGGATGTGTTGGAGGTGTGGGGTGTGTGGGGGTGGGGTGTGTTTTGAGGATGTGTGGAGGGTGTGGGGTGTGTTGGAGGGTGGGGATGTTGGAGGTGTGGGGGGTGTAGGGTGTAGGGGTGTGTGGGAGGGTGTAGGGATGTGTTGGAGGGTGTAGGGGGGTGGGGGGTGTAGGGGTGTGTGGGAGGGGGGTGTGGAGGGTGTAGGGGTGTGGGGAGGGTGTAGGGATGTGTTGGGGTGTGGGGATGTGTCGGAGGGTGTAGGGGTGTGTTGGAGGGTGTAGGGTGTGGGGGTGTGGGAGGGTGTGGGAGGGTGTGTTGGAGGGTGTAGGGGTGTGTTGGAGGGTGTAGGGATGTGTTGGAGGGTGTGGGGTGTGTGAGGGGGGTGTGTGGGAGGGTGTAGGGGTGTGGGAGGGGGTGTGTGGGGGTGTAGGTGTGGGGGGGTGTGTAGGGTGTGTTGTGTGTAGGGGGGTGTGTGGGAGGTGTGTAGGGTGTAGGGATGTGTCGGAGGGTGTAGGGGTGTGTTGGAGGTGTGGGTGTGGGGAGGGTGTAGGATGTGGAGGGTGTGGGGATGTGTCGTGTGGGGTGTGTGGGTGTGGGGTGTGGGGGAGGGTGTGGGGGGTGTGTGGGGATGTGTTGGGGGGTGTAGGGATGTGTCGGAGGGTGTAGTGTGTTAGGTGTAGGGGTGTGTGGAGGGTGAGGGAGGGTGTAGGGAGGGGGTGTAGGGTGTGTTGGGAGTTTATAATGTATGTGTGTGTGTATATTCTATTTTATAGTGTATAGTGTGTGTGTATGTTGTATTTTATAATGTATAGTGTGTGTGTATATTCTATTTTATAGTGTATACAGTATTATGTGTGTATGTTGTATTTTATAATGTATAGTGTGTGTGTATTGTATTTTATAATGTATAGTGTGTGTGTATGTTGTATTTTATAATGTATAGTGTGTGTGTATATTCTATTTTATAGTGTATAGTGTGTGTGTATGTTGTATTTTATAATGTATAGTGTGTGTGTGTATTGTATTTTATAATGTATAGTGTGTGTGTATATTGTATTTTATAGTGTATAGTGTGTGTGTATATTGTATTTTATAGTGTATAGTGTGTGTGTATATTGTATTTTATAGTGTATAGTGTGTGTGTATATTGTATTTTATAGTGTATAGTGTGTGTGTATATTCTATTTTATAGTGTATAGTGTGTGTGTGTATTGTATTTTATAGTGTATAGTGTGTGTATATTGTGTTTTATAGTGTATAGTGTGTGTGTATATTCTATTTTATAGTGTATAGTGTGTGTGTGTATTGTATTTTATAGTGTATAGTGTGTGTATATTGTGTTTTATAGTGTATAGTGTGTGTGTATATTGTATTTTATAGTGTATAGTGTATAAACAATTCATGTTTTCCCTCAGGATTGGATGTAGAATATGATGAAGGTCGCAGAGGTGTTAACAGCGTGTGGATTGGTCAGCCGTTAGAGTCGACTGAACTCCGTCTCGCTATTGAGAACTGGTGTGATGAGAATAACGTGCCCTCATCTTCAACTGAGGCCCTGGTGAGGTTTGGTTAGGGTTTGGTTAGGGTAGGTTTGGGTTAGGTTAGGTTAGTGTTAGGTTAGTGTTAGGTTAGGTTAGTGTTAGAAGTAGGAGGGAGATAATGTGTAGTGAAGTAAAGAGAATACAGAAAATATTGGAATGTTAAGGTGACTTGAGATTTGCAAAGAAGGAAATTTTCAAGCAACAATTCTTAATGGATGCCACAGGTTTATAAAAAGCTGTACAAGTTTTTTTATCAGCTTAAACTAATCTGTCACGTACTGATATAAGCAAAGCTGTGATTAATTTAATGTAAGCTTATCCTGAAGACTTTAAAGAGTTTGGAAAATGTGTAGATAATAATGTGAACCAAGCTTAAATTATTGCTTTAATACTTAGCCTTAACCTGAGCTATGGATCAAGTGTACTAGAGCTATGGACCAAGTGTACTAGAGCTATGGACCAAGTGTACCAGAGCTATGGATCAAGTGTACTAGAGCTATGGACCAAGTGTACTAGAGCTATGGACCAAGTGTGCTAGAGCTATGGACCAAGTGTACTAGAGCTATGGACCAAGTGTACCAGAGCTATGGACCAAGTGTACTAGAGCTATGGACCAAGTGTACTAGAGCTATGGACCAAGTGTACTAGAGCTATGGACCAAGTGTACTAGAGCTATGGACCAAGTGTACTAGAGCTATGGACCAAGTGTACTAGAGCTATGGACCAAGTGTACTAGAGCTATGGACCAAGTGTACTAGAGCTATGGACCAAGTGTACTAGAGCTATGGACCAAGTGTGCTAGAGCTATGGACCAAGTGTACCAGAGCTATGGACCAAGTGTACCAGAGCTATGGACCAAGTGTACCAGAGCTATGGACCAAGTGTACTAGAGCTATGGACCAAGTGTACCAGAGCTATGGACCAAGTGAACCAGAGCTATGGACCAAGTGTACTAGAGCTATGGACCAAGTGAGCTATGGACCAAGTGTACCAGAGCTATGGACCAAGTGTACTAGAGCTATGGACCAAGTGTACTAGAGCTATGGACCAAGTGTACCAGAGCTATGGACCAAGTGTACTAGAGCTATGGACCAAGTGTACTAGAGCTATGGACCAAGTGTACTAGAGCTATGGACCAAGTGTACTAGAGCTATGGACCAAGTGTACTAGAGCTATGGACCAAGTGTACCAGAGCTATGGACCAAGTGTACTAGAGCTATGGGACCAAGGCTAGAGCTATGGACTAAGTGTACCAGAGCTATGGACCAAGTAAAACAGAGCTATGACCAAGTGTACCAGAGCTATGGACCAAGTTGTACAAAGGCCTATGGACCAAGTGTACTAGAGCTATGGACCAAGTGTACCAGAGCTATGGACCAAGTGTACCAGAGCTATGGACCAAGTGTACTAGAGCTATGGACCAAGTGTACTAGAGCTATGGACCAAGTGTACTAGAGCTATGGACCAAGTGGTGTACCAGCCTGTCAGGGAGATACAGTACAGTTCTTTGATGTGTCGTGGGGCCTTTCACAGTAGAATAGTGTTAGGTTAGGTTAGTGTTTTTTTTTTTTTTTACGGGGATAAGCCCCCCCGGGCACGGGTTACTGACCCACATCAGGGCCTAGCGAAATATACACACACACACACAATACACACACACACACACACACACACACACACACACACAATAATAATAATAATAATAATAATAATAATAATAATAATAATAAATATTAATAACAAAATACTAAAGAAAATAAGAATATTAACATAATCAAAATCATAAATAAATACAAAATCGAAAAAAAAAGATCAAAAGTGAGAAACAATTGAGACCCTGCAATTGTGTGTAAATGAAGCAGAAAGTCAGATGAGCAACCTGGGACTTGGTCACATATGGCAGCAGGGTCAACACATTATGCTTCCAATATCTTCCCAGGCGGTAGTACCTCCCTGTTTGGTAGCTGCCTACTACCTACTACCTAGATTAGTGTTAGGTTAGTGTAGATTAGTGTTAGGTTAGGTTAGGGGACATACTGTAAAGGTAACTTATATCCTAAATTATTAGATCCAGTTCACGTTATTGTGGCAGCTCCTTAAACAGACGTGCAGCAGTGGGCACTTGACACTACTAAAGACACATTATGGCGTTATTAAATACTGCCCATGATCATATTGGCTCTTATATTTATCAACAATTAATTACAACTATTTATGTCGTTTATTTAATCTATAAACAATGTACCTAGACAGTGTAGGTATACAGTGTACCTAGACAGTGTAGGTATACAGTGTACCTAGACAGTGTAGGTATACAGTGTACCTAGACAGTGTAGGTATACAAACAATGTACCTAGACAGTGTAGGTATACAGTGTACCTAGACAGTGTAGGTATACAAACAATGTACCTAGACAGAGTAGGTATACAGTGTACCTAGACAGAGTAGGTATACAGTGTACCTAGACAGTGTAGATATACAAACAATGTACCTAGACAGTGTAGGTATACAGTGTAGGTATACAGTGTAGGTATACAGTGTACCTAGGCAGTGTAGGTATACAAACAATGTACCTAGACAGTGTAGGTATACATTGTACCTAGACAGTGTAGGTAT